CTCTCTGTCTGTCTCTCTTCCCCCCACCCCCAGCTCTCTCCCTGTCCTCTCTGAAATTTAATTAGTGTTTTCGTCACTTTGCAATTTGACTGTTCAGTTGTCCTCCTTTCCGGCTTACCAATCCTCTTACTTCCCACAAACTCTTACTTCTGAAATGCAACTAATTCTTTATTACTATGTTCTTGCTGACTTAATTTAAAATTTGATTTTTGTAATTTTATGTTTAAACTTTGTCTTTAGACCCTTACACAATCTTACTACAGATTCCAAATCTTTGATTTTCCTTCTGTAGATCTGTCTTCTGACTCTGCTGTAGTTTAGGATCTGTTCTCTTCACTCCACAATTCCGGGCTTGGCTTTCACTTTATAAGTTTTTTTTTCCTCTTTGATTTTATATTCTCTGTTGCTCTCTCTTCCTTTTGAAAACCTCCAGAAATGTCCTTTCTTCAGCTGGGCTTGCAATGACCCCTCTGTGTCTCTATGTTTGTGAGTGTCATTTGAGTTTTAAAAGTTATATGCTTTGCATTATCTCAATACATCTTGAAATACTTCCAAGAATAGTTACTGTTGAAGTTGTGGAAACATGCTATACAAAAGCAGGCTCTGTTATGGTAAAATTGGTCAAAGTAAATTGTGGTAACTTCTTAGATTTTTACACACTTAATTTGCGCTGATCAATTTCATTCCTGTTTCTAGCCCCTCTGGAGGTTTATTGACTCTGAGCCTGTTGAAAAATTGTTGGCATACAAATCTGAAGATGTTCGGGAAATTGGGCGTTTAAAGTCATCAAATGTTTGTGGTTACATAAAGTTGAATGAATCTGTACTTTTACCAGAAGAACTTGATGATGATTTCGATACAGATGCTTCTACAGGTAGGTATATTTGAGGAAGTAATCTAATTGATGGTTTCTGGTTACATGGTCTGATCATTTCGAAAATTGCCCTTCAGCCAATTTACCTTCTGTTAGCATAGTTGAAATACCAGTGTATTGACTTTACACTTCTTTAAAATATTAGCGTACAACGCTTAAGCTATTTTAAAAAAGTACTTTTCTCATTAGCACTGGGTGCATGTGGCTTCCTACGGTGCAATTTCGCTGAATTATTTGTGCAAGTTAATAGCTTCTCAGTTTTTCCTCAAACCCATTCTCAGTGACTTGTAGTGCAACACACCCCGTGAGATAAAATCGCAGAGATTAATGTTGCCTTTTGTGGAATGTAGCACAGCTGAATGAAGGGTGTGCTCTTGAACAGTAATGACTACTATGGAGAACTTATAAATCCTCAGGATATGTAGATAATTATGGTTTCTTGTACTTGATAAAAACTTGCACATAAACTATATTCTTTGATTGTTCAAATTGACTTAAAAATCACTTACTTAGTACAAATACATTTTGTGAAGGAAACTTGAATGTTGAGTCTTCAACTGAAAACTAATTATTGGAATTTGGTTCTTTTGAAGCCAATAACTTGTGCTGATGATCTGTTTGACTCATTTGCCTTAAGATATTGTTGCTAATATTGTGCAGTAACATTTTGTCTCAGTTCTGGTACTACTTTCCATTCCCTTTTTTTATGAAGGTGCAGGGAACCTGGACTTGTGCCTCTGCTGTCAAAAGGATAGACAGGTGAACTACCCCTACAGTCTCCATCAATGCCCACTTTGGCTCCTGACAATTACTGCCTAGGCAGGACATCTCTAATCAGTGCTAGAAACAGGCAAGATAGCTTAATAAATTGTAATGCTAAAGATGCCTTAAGCTATTTGAACACATTTAAACATACCTATATTACATTGGGAAGGGGCTTTATCAGTCTGTGAATATAGAGAATTTTGTGTATAAGTAGAAAGAAGTGGGCTTTAGAAGTTAAGAAAGCAACGTGAAATAATTGGATGTATTTACTTCATTCAGTTATTGCATTGATTCAAAGATCAGGACATAGACAATATTAAAGATTCTGAGCACTGTTCCTGGTGCAAAACTTTTTTTTTTCAGAATCCACAATGTGTAAAGTGTTTCCTTCACCTCAGTGGAAATGTTCTCCAAAACTGTTTGGCATCTGTTTCATTTGACATAGTCATTTAAGGGCCAAATCAGGCGAATAGATTTAAAATGAAAAGTCACATTTCTGTGTCACAGAAAGGAGATTTCAAGTAAGATAATAGGAAGAATGTTTTTGAACTCTCTGCAGCCCTGTCTCTGTTCATTAAGATCTAATCCACTGGAGAAATGGGCAAATGGTCTCTGATACTGGCTCCTAAAATACCTCTTCTTAGGGGATCTAATGCAGAGAAGTTCACTGCTTCGATTTTTGCCAGGTAGCTGTCGAATTTGGCTCTCAACTAAAATTGAGTGTCGTGTTTTGGCCCTGCCGCCTCACTCTGAGGGCTTCTGGAAGAGGAGGGATATGACACTAAATGGAGGATTGTGGCCTGTACTGGTCCTGTAAAAATTCCTAAAAGAGGAAGTTTCTGTCCCAATTCTTTTCATTCAAAATGTTTGAAGTGCTACCTCGTCAATGTGTAGTTGAAAGTCAATGTTTCCTTTTCTCTTGGTTCTTTCTTAAAAAGTGTGTATTTTTCATTTTGTTTCTCTACCAAGCATACTTCTGAACACTGAAATGTCCAGTCCCTTGTTCTGAAATGATGAAAGGTCAAAAATCTGAAACATTAATTGTTTCTCCTCTCCATAGATGCTGCCTAACCACCTGAGTATTTCCGATATTTTGATTTTATTTTAACCTCTACCACAGGCTCGGGACCTTTTCTTGTAGAGGATGCTTCTGATGGCTTGGCAGTCGGGGCTTATTAACTTATAAGCTTTTCAGTCGTCATTTCACTGATGTGAAGTAGATTTCCCTTGTTTACCTCTTCAGTAGCTTTGCCTTTAGAAGGAAACTTTGTTCTGTCCTAAGAGAAATAGAATCAGTGTTGACAGGCTGCTAGAAGAATGTTATTCATGCTTTGTTTCCTGTGAGCTTCCACATCCACTTACCACCTTTCAGTTAAATGTGTGTTTTGTTTCTCTTTTAAGTTTCATTTAATAGTACAGTGCAGATGGATGCCATTTGAGTAAATCAGTGCTGGCTCTTTTGAACAGTCCAGACAATCCTAATCCTCTGTTCTCTCATTTCCTTGTAATTTTTTTTCTACGAGTATTAATTCAGACTCATTTTGAAAGGCACTATTGAATCCATATCCACCACCCTGCCAGGCAGTCCATTTCCAGTACTGGCCACTTATTGCAGAAAAGTTTTATGCTTTCTCTGGTTCTTTGGCCAATCATAATTATTTGCCATCTAGTTGTAAACCTTTTTCTCTATTGGAACTGTTCCTCTTTATTTACTGTTTGAAACCCCATCACGATTTTAACACCTCTAGCAAATCTCTTGTGATCTTCTCTGACCTAAGGAGACCCTCTGACCCTAGCTTCTCCAGTCTATCCAAAAAATATAAGCCCTCCTTTCTGGAACTATTCCAGTTAACTTTTCTGCACCTCCTCCAAAACTTTCACAACCTCCTTTAAAATGTGATGCTCAGCAATGGGGCTAATACTCCAGCTGGTTTGGCAAGATCTCCTGTTTTTTTTTAATGCTATTTATAAAGCTGAGAACCAATATACTTTTATTCTCATGTCTAAAGATATTAAGCATTTGTTCTTGTCCTTTTTTGAGACGGTCTCTCTCGCTGATACTACGTTGTATATCTACATGGCTGTTTGAGCCTGCCCTCAGCAGCCCTATTAATTAATATGAAATAATGTATTAGAATAAAAATGTTCCTAAAGGATTCCCATCTTTTCTTATCCTTCCAAGTGGCTATTTGCTTGCTATTCTGCACTCTTATCTGACTGCATGAAAATGACTCCTCCTGAAAATGATTATCCAAAGAATATTTACTTGTACATGCTGCATTGTTGTCAGGCAAGATCAAACATTCGGCTTGATTTTGAGCAACTTGGGACACTTCCTGAAGATATGGGCCATTAAACATCCTGAAACTTTGAGGTGACATAGGAATTGCAGTTGACAGGTCATAGCTTTCCTCTACTCTAATAACAAAATTAAAATAAACATCAGGAAATTAAGTAATTGCTGCTAAGTAAGTTTTAGCTACACTGGACCAGTCATATAAATACTGTGGCTACTAGAGAAGGCCAGAAACTGGGAATTCTGTGGTGAGTAACTGCATCCCTAACTCCCCGAAACCTGCCTGCCATCTACAAGGCACAAGTCAAGAGCATTTTGGGATACTCTTTACTTATCTGGATGAGTATGATGGCTGCAGCAATAGAAGAATGTTAACACCATCCAGGAAAGCCTGCTTGATTGACATCACCTCCACTACCTTAAGCATTCATTTGCTTCTCCTCCACTAGTACGTGATGGTGGATGTGTGTGCTATATACACGATAAATTGCAGCAACTCACCAAGAATTCTTTGACAGCACCTTCAAAATCTTTGTTCATCTGAATGGTGTTATTCAACAGCAAATGCGGGGGAACACCACAACCTACAAGCTCCTCTTCAAGCCACACACCATTCTACCTGGGACTATATTGTTATTCTTTCAGTGTCACGGGATAAAAGCCTGGAACGCTCAAACATCACTGGGAATATCTACCAGATGGTGTGCAGCAGTTCTAGAAGATGGCTCATGGCCACTGTCTTGAGGGCAATTGGGAATGGGCGATAGGCCACTGACACCAACATCCTATGAAAATGTAAGAATGTTTGCAAATCTCATTACATCCGATTTATGTGGAATTTTTTTTTTGCACCACTATTTTTCTTATTCCTTTTCTTTTTATTTCTTTTATTAGTATTGATTTGCCACCTATTGATATGGGAGAACAGTGACAATTATCCATCTTTGGTGTTATCCATCTTTGATGCTCTTTTTGATGGATTAGCACATATTCTTTGCTTCATGAGTGGTAGAATTTTGTGCTAAATCAAGTAATGTCTTATTTTAAGATCTGGTTTTATTTTCTCTACAAAACCCTGAAATAGTTTGGAGAAAACATTATTGGTAGTTTCAAACATAAAAATCTAATGTGGAATTTCTGGCCAGGTTCTATACTTTGTGTGGTTGATAATTAATTTGATTCTTCACGTGCCCCTATCCTGACTGAACTCCTCAGACTTCCTATATTGCAGTAGACCAGATGCATTTGTATCAGCGTTATAAAATATGCCAGATTTTAACTTCAGTTACAATAGACACAAGATTTTGACAAATCAATTCAACACAATTGGGCACGTTCTATCTCAAATTTTGTGTGCAAACCAGTAACTTGCCACTCTGTTGTATTAAGTATTGATGCTACTCCATGGTATGTCTGTATTTTACTTAACTAAAGTGAAGTGTCTGCTTTAAAAAAAACTTATACCTATGCAGTTCATGTGTTTATATTTGTGTTGTATGTGTTTGTGGATGTTTAATTCTAAGCAATATCTTTTTTGTGCTTAAGTTTAAGACACAAGTCTAACCATTTTTAAAAGATTGATTCAGAAATTTTAATTGCTCAACAGAATATATCCAGCGACAGAAGAGACAAAACGTCCTAGATCCTGAAAAGAATACTTGCAAAATGCTAGTTGTAGCAGATTATCGCTTTTTTAAGCACATGGGGCGTGGTGAAGAGAGCATCACCATCAATTATTTGGTAAGGATATTCCAAGATGAATAATTTTAAATGTACTCTTTGGTTTACTGTTAAGCTACCTTACCTTTTAGCTCTCACAAGCAATGAGCTGAGATTATTAATGAAGTGCATTCATATTGATTGATCTTACATATTTGGATAAATGTATGCATTTTAACTGGCTCTCTGTTTTTCAAACACTGACAGTAGTGGTAGCTTGAGAGCACTTTGTCTACTTTCCTGTCAGTTTTGTCACTGGTAGTTTAAATGCCCCTGTTCTGTGTTGTATTTGGATTCTAGTGTAGAGTCACTGGACTTGAAACTTAGCATCTGTGGGAAGAAAGCAGAGTTGCCAGACCTGAGTTTCGCTGGCAATTTCTGCTTTTGTTTCAGATCTCCAGCATCTGCAGTTCTTTGTTTTGTTTTGTTTTGTGTTGTATTTGAACTTGTTTTACACCTTGTTAGCACAGGCTTCTAGATTACTGATCCAGTAACATACCTAATATTTTAACATAATTATCTTTTCAAAAGTACACATGCACGTTTTTAATTTGATGCAAAGTCTCGGAACTGTGTATTACGGCTTGCAAGCACTTGTAAAATCTTCTTTGATAAGGCTGAAAGTTTCCCTTTTACATTGAATTTTTAATAGTATTCAGATTCCTGATCCCAGACCAGTACCTTTTAAACTTGAAAAAATAAGTTGGAAAACTAACCATAACCTTTGAAGACTGACTAACTCTTCTTCACTGAACCTAAAATAACAAAATTATTTTTATTCTGTAGTTATTTTTATGGGAGGCATGAGGAGTAAAAGCGATGTATATCATGTTGCCTTTTCCTTAATGTAGTCCTGTTTACCGGTTATTTAAAACTGTGAAGAAAATAAATGAATGTATTCTTTCATTACCTTTGCGTAACGATTTTCTTGAATGAGTTTTCAACAGTCTCATTTTAAAATGAATTTTCCAGGCTTGATTGGATAGGTTTTATTTGGCAATGATATATTCGGCAATGATATATTCCTCAATGGATCCATAAAATGGAGAGAAGAACTTTGAGTACAGGAGTTGGGAGATCATGTTGTGGCTGTACAGGACATTGGTTAGGCCACTTTTGGAATACTGCATGCAGTTTTGGTCTCCCTCCTATAGGAAGGATGTTGTAAAACTTGAAAGGGGTCAGAAAAGATTTACAAGGATGTTACCAGGGTTGGAGGGCTTAAGCTATAGGGAGAGGCTCACTAGGCTGGGGCTGTTTTTCCTGGAGCATCGAGGCTGAGGGGTGACCTTATAGAGGTTCATAAAATCATGAGGGGCATGGATAGGGTGGGGAGTCCAAAACTAGAGGGCATAGGTTAAAGGTGATGGGGAAAGATTTAAACAACCTGAGAGCCAACTTTTTCACTTAAAGGGTGGTGCGCGTATGGAATGAGCTGCCAGAGGAAGTGGTGGAGGATGGTACAGTGACAACATTTAAAAGGCACCCGGATGGGTAAATGAATAGGAAGGTTTTAGAGGGAGTGGGCTAAATGCTGGCAAATGGGACTAGGTTCATTTAGGATATCTGGTCGGCATGGAAGATTTGGACCAAAGGGTCTGTTTCCATGTTGCACAGCTCTATGATTCTGTAAAAAGGAAAAACAATTTATTTTCAAAATATGATTACATCACTGTGCTATTCTAAGGTTAATTGTTATTCTAACCGAATAGTTTAAACTTGCTTTTCTGAATACAGATTGAATTGATTGACAGAGTAGACGATATTTATCGGAATACCACTTGGAACAGTGCTGGTTTCAAAGGATATGGAGTGCAGATAGAGGAGGTAAATCATTCAAAATATGCTGAATTTTTATTTTTAACTCACGGCTACACAAAGTCAATAGTTCAGTTCTTATAATCTTAGTTCTGTTGATTTGACTGGGTGGCTGTCTTCCTTTTTAAAGCTGTATTCATAGGCCAGTACTGAATTTGAAAAGTAATCCTGTCAACAGTCTGGCTTATTTTCCAACAACCGTTATTGTGGTGTCACTGCAAATGACTTGAATGTATTTAAGTAGGCTTGTGGGTATTTGAAGTAACATTCAGTACCTTTGCGTCTGCTTTTTGACGATTGTGTAGCAAAGTTCATGCGATGGCCTGTGTGTCTATTTATTTCAGTTTTTGATAAAATGATAAGAGTTTGGCCTAAAAATACTTAATAAAAACCAAAAGAACTGCGAATGCCGTGAATCAGGAACAAAAACAAAGTTGCTGGAAAAGCTCAGCAGGTCTGGCAGCACCTGTGAAGGAAAAAAGCAGAGTTAACGTTTTGAGTCCGGGTACGGGATCCTCGGAAGGGTCACTGGACCCGAAATGTTAACTCTGATTTTTCCTTCACAGATGCTGCCAGACCTGCTGAGCTTTTCCAGCAACTTTGTTTTTGTGCCTAAAAACACTTGTTGGAGTATATTAATTGCACTGAGAATATTTTTAATTAACCAAAGTTATTATCACAGAATAAAATTTAAAGCTTAGGTAGCAGAAATTGTTTCCCTAACTGGTAACAGCAGTCACACAGGATCAGGTTAGTGTTAGTTAACAGGCATTGTGTATCCAGCTATCCAACATTTAGTTCATAGCTTGCAATTGTGTAGCCCATAAAAAATGAATGGCTCTTAACCGAAGTCACAGAGGTGGGGACAAGATAGTCAGTCTGTAAGTCACAGAGATTTGGGAGATGTTAAGGAAGCCCTTAAGGGAGAGGAGCGAACTAAGGTCTTCTTGAGCAGATACTGGAATTCATGGCTGCCGGAGGTGACGCAAACAGTGGGATACACAAGTTTGGAATGAAACTGATCAGATTTAGGAAGTTATTTCTAAGATTTGAGGCTATGGCCGTAAGAAGAGGCATGGAAAGATTTTAAAGAGAAGATATGACAATTATGTGTGGTGGAATGAGCCATTGTAAGTCAGTGAGGGCATGCGTAATGATTCTTAGCGCAGTAACTGTATTGGGTAAGCTGTAGTTTTTTTTTTGTTGAGGCGTGGGGTGAAGAGAAAGAATGGGCTGCCAATAATGAGTGTATTGGAGTTGATAGCCTACTTTACACAAATTCAATAATTATTTTTAGGATCCTTGCAACAAACTAACTTCTGCCTTTCCAAGGGTACAAAGACATGAGTAAGGATTTCAACAACAGAAGGCTGAGGTAGAGACAGAAATGACCTTGGAACAGAGGTGGAACTAGATGGGCATTCTGATTAAATGAGTCAAATCTCATCTCAAAGTCAAACAGGATTCCAACGTTTAAAAATATTCCATATAAGCCAGAGACTTTGGTTATGGAATTGGTGGAGTTAGCAATGTCAGGGTGAGCCCTGAAGCGGAAAGGCACTGATTCTTCTGAGAGTCTTGGCAATATTTATAAAGCACCTTATTAATGCAGTGAAATATTCCAAAGTGCTTCACAGGAGTATTGTCTGATAAATTTGACCCTGGGCAACACAGAGTTGAGGACTATTGGAGCTCAAACTGGCTAGAAGACCAGTAAACAAAGAAGTGATGGGCAATTGGGACTTGGTGCATGTAGGATGTGGAAGCAGACATTTGGATGAACCCAAGTTTACAGATAAATGTTTAGGCTAGGATAGTGTTGAAATAGCCAAGTTTAGAGGTAACATTGGAATGAATGAGGGATTTGGTAGCGAATAAGTCCAATGCAAAGAGCTTTAGAAATCATACTTCCCTACAGTGTGGAAGCAAGCCATTTGGCCCATCTAGTCCACACCTACCCTCCAAAGAGCAGCCTGCCAAACACACTCCGTACCCTATCCCCGTTGCCCTGCATTTCTCCTGGCTAACCCACTTAACCTACACATTTTTGGACTACAGGAGGAAATTGGAGCACCCAGAGAAAACCCACGCAGACACAGGAAGAATGTGCAAACTCCACACAGATAGCCGCCTAAAGTTGAAATCAAATGCAGGTCCCTGGTGCTGTAAGGTAGCAGTGGGCCACCATGCTGTGCTCTGCATGGAGGCAGTTTTTGCTAAGGAGGTGGAAATAGGCATCCTGTCGACAGCACAAACATGCCGTTGGATGATGGTGGAAGCCTTTTTCGTTTCCTCATGATCTCATTGTTTCATTCTATCTCTGACTAAGCTATGCTAACCCCTCCTACGTTCTTTTCTTTGGCTTAGGTCTACCACTTTGGAAGGTGCTATTTTAAAGCGATTTATATCAGTGCATTTTTTTTAACGTTACAGATCATTGTCAACAAAGAACCAACAGTGGTGACTTGGGGGAAGAAACATTACAATATGGCTGGGAGTTATCCAGAAAACAAAGATGCTTGGGATGTTAAGCCTCTACTTGAGGTAAGGAAGACCTGGAGAGAGAAATATTACTTTCAAGGAGCCTAGTTTTGTTATAGACACTGAAACTATCTCACAATTTTAAAGGAATTGCTACTTCTAAGTTATAGTTGATGCACTTTATATACTAAAAAATTTGAAAATTTCCTAAATTTATGTAAAAACAAATACAAGACTATAACTGTAAAAATTCAATGATACGTATTTTTGGAACCTAATATGTGTTAAACGACTGATGAAAATTCATACAAAATGAATTACAGTGGCACCACCTGCACCTAAACTGAAGGGGCACCAATATTCTTGCAGAGAGGTTTACTAGTGCCATTCAGGAGGGTTTAAACTAGTATGGTGGGGTGTGGGAACCGGAGCAGCTGATCAGCATGAGGAGAAAGTATTGAGGTTAAATAGGCTGAACTAGCTGGACAATGAACTAGCTCATTGAACAAGGCAGGACTATTGAGGAGGACAGGAGGGAGAAATAATAAAAGAAAGCTGGAGGGCAAGATGGAGTGTTTAGCCAAACTTAGTTATTTTGTACAAATGCATAGAGTGTAAAGAATAAATTAAGTGAGCTGTAGGCACAGATTCAAAATGCGAATTGAAATAGTAGCTATTATGGAGACATAGCTGCAGGATGGTCAGGCCAGGGTTCATAGTTCCTTGAAAGTGGAGTTGCAGGTAGATAGGATAGCGAAGAAGGCATTTCGTATGTTTGCCTTTATTGGACACAGTATTGAGTATAGGAGTTGGGAGGTCATGTTGAAATGACTGTACAAGATATTGGTTAGGTCTCTTTTGGAATTCTGGTCACCCTGCTATAGGAAGGACATTGTGACACTTGAAAGGGTTCAGTGAACCTTTACAAGGATGTCGCCAGGGTTGGAGGGTTTAAGCTATAGGGAGAGGCTGAATAGGCTATTTTCCTTGGAGTGTCGAAGGTTTATAAAATCATGAGGGGCATGCATAGGGTAAATTGACAAGGTCTTTACCCTGGGGTGGGGGAGTCAAAAAGTCGAGGACATAGGTTTAAGATGAGAGGGGAAAGATTTAAAAGGGACCTAAGGGGCACCTTTTTCCACACAGAGGGTGGTGCATGTATGGAATGAGCTGACAGAGGAAGTGGTGGAGGCTGGTACAATTAAAACATTTAAAAGGCATCTGGGTATATGAATAGGAAGAGTTTAGAGGGATAAGGGCAAAATGTTGGCAAATTGTATTAGATTTATTTAGGATATCTGGTTGGCATGGACGAGCTGGATTGACGAGTCTGTTTCCGTGCTGTACATCTCTCTGACTGGCAACTATAAATATCAGGTTGTAAGGTTTACAGAAGGGATAAAATGGAATTGCAGGTGGAGTAACATTATTGATTAGAAACAGAATCACTTCCATGGTGAGGGACGATGTAATGAGGGGAAAGCACCCAGTGGTGACCTTATGAGTGGGACTGAGGAATTGGTAGCAGTTCAGAAGTGCTAAATTTATTGTAAAACTACAGTACAGCAGAAGAAAAGGCCCTTTGGCTCACCAAACCTGTGTTGATTCCTAGTCCTTATTTAGATCTGCTACTTATTGCCCATGCGTGATATCTATCCCTCTGTTCACCGCATGTTCATGTGTCTATCAGGATATGCATTAAATGGCAATCTCCATTGGCAATCTGTTCCAGGCATTGACCATCCTTTTGTGAAAACGTTTTCCTGCCATTTTCCTCTAAACCTTTCCCATCTCACCTTGAACCTGTGCCCTTGTGTAGTTGACCTTTCTACCCTGGGGAAAAAGCCTGACTATCCACCCTGTCTATGCCTCTCATAATTTTGTAGATGTCTATCAGGTTGCCCGTGAACCTCCGTTTTTCCAGTGAAAACGATCTGAGTTTATCCAACCTCTCTTCATAACTTAAAACCCACCAGAATGGGCAAGTTTCTGGTCAACTTTCTCGGCAGCATCTCAGAAGCATCCATGTCCTTCTGGTAGTGTGGCAACCAGAACAACATGCAATGCTCCAAATGTGGCCTAGCTCAAGTTTTGTACAGCTGTAACATAACTTGCCAGATTTATATTTGATGCCCTGGCCAATGAAGGCAAGCGTGCTGTATACCTTTTTTGACCACCTATTCACCTGTGTTGCCACTTTGAGGGATCTGTGGACCTGTATGCCCGGATCCCTCTGTCAGTGCTCCCAAGGGTTCTGCCATTTATTCTATAATTCGCCCTTGAATTTGATCTTCCAAAATGCATCACCTCGCATTTGTCCAGATTAAACTCTAGCTGCCATTTCTTTGCCCAAATCTACAGTCTATCTATATCGCGCGGTATTCTTTGACAATCCTCCTCACTATCTGCGACTTTGCCAATTTTGGTGTCATCTGCAAACCTACTAATCAGACCACCTGCGTTTTCCTCCAGATCATTTAAATATATTACAAACAAAAAGACCCAGCACTGATCCCTTCAGAACACAGCAAGTTATTGATCTCCATTCCCAAAAACATCCTTCGACCTCTGCTGTCTGTCATCTATGATCACACTAGTTTTGTATCCATCTAAGCTCACCCTGGGTCCCATGAGACTACCTCTGTACCAGCCTGCCATGAGGTATTCATCAAATGCCTTACCAGAGTCTATGTAGGCAACATCCACTGGCCTTCCCTCATCAATCATTCTTGTCACCACCTCAAAAAAGTCAAAGTTGGTGAGACATGATATTCCTCGCAAAGACCCATGCTGCCTATCACTAACAAGTCAATTTGCTTCTAAATGTGAATAAATCCTGTCTTTCGGTATCTTCTCCAACAACTTCTTCACCACTGACATCAGGCTCACCAGGTTGTACTTACCTGGATTATCTCTGTTTCCTTCTTAAACAAAGGAACAACATTGACCATTCTGCAGTCCCCTGGAACCTCGCCTGAGGCCAAAGAGGATGCAGAGATATCTATTAGGGCCTCTGCTATTTCTTTTTCTCCCACACTGTCCTGGAATAGATCCTGTCTGGCTCTCGGGACTTATCTACCTTAATGTATTTCAGGACACCCAACATTTCCTCCTTCATTATATTGATTTGCCCAAGAATATTTACGCATCTTTCTCTAACCTCAACCTCAACCTCAACCTCAACATCCCCCATGTCCCTCTCTTTAATGAGTACTTTACATCAGTATTCACCAATGATCTCGACCATTTCCTCTGGCTCCATGCAAAACCTTCCTCCTTTATCCTTGTGTGGACCTACTCTTTCCCTAGCTACCCTCTTGCTCCTAATATATGTATAAAATGCCTTGGTATTCTCGTTAACTTTGCTGGCCAAGGATATTTCATATCCCCTTCTAGTCTTCCTAACTCCCCATTTGAGCTCCTTCGTACTTTATATTCTTCAAAGACTTCATGTATTTTTAGTTGCCTAGAGCTTGGGTATGTTTCCTTTTTTTTGACTAAACTAATAATTTCACCTGTCATTCCAAGGTTCCAGAATCCTGCCTTTCCTGTCCTTCATTTTCACGTGCCCATCCTACACACTAATCACCTGGTCCTTAAATGACTCCCACATGTCAGATATGGATTTACCATCCAACAGCCATTCCTAATCCACATTCTGTAATTCTTGCATAATTTGATTATAGTTGGCCTTTCCCCATTTAACGCCTTCATCTGAGGTCTACTCTTGTCCTTATTCGTAAGTATCCGGAAACTTGTGGAATTATGGTCACTATTCCCAAAATGCTCCCCCACTGAAACTTTGATCATCTGGCCGGGCTCATTTCCCAATACCAGATCCAGTATGGCCCCCTCCCTCGTTAGACTATACATATACTGTTTCAAAAAGCCCTCCTGGACATACCTAATAAATTGCTCCCAATTCAAATCTCCAGTGCCAAGGGAACCCAGTCAATGTGGAGGAAGTTAAAAACCCCACCACAACAACCCTGATATTTTCACATCTTTCCAGAATCTGACTACATTGTTTCTTCTTCTATCTTCCTTGGCAGCTGGGAGATCTATAGTACAATCACAGCATTGTGATTGCACCCTTCCTTCCTCTTCCTGAGCTAAATATATAACAGAAGTTCCCAAACTGATTATGCCTGTATGAGTTAATTTTGTCGAATAGTAGAAATTTAGTTTCCTTGTTTTAAGTGTGCTTTTTCTGAAGAATCAATTTTTTAACTCTTCAGCAATTCAGCGCTGATATAGCCAAAAGTGCTTCCAAAGTTTGCCTTGCACATCTGTTTACCTACCAAGATTTTGAACATGGAACACTTGGATTAGCTTATGTTGGATCTCCAAAATCACGTGCATTAGGTGGCATATGCCCTACACGTAAGTCCAAATGTAAATGAAATTTTAATTTTTAAAATTTACTTCAGTAGTGAAAAAAATAAGTGGATAAAATGCATTATTATTTTAAGTTAACCACATTGGAACAAAATTGTTGAATAATGAAAATGAGATACTTTGGGACTAATTTACACATGCATGCAACAGACAGCAAGTTTTGCTGGTTGCACATGTTGGGAAATCATGGGCATGCTACCTGTGATTTTTCTGCTGAATGTGTGAAATGTTCCTACAGTTTGTGTAATTGGACAAGATTTCTCCTAGCAATATATAAAAGTATATGAATATGAAGACCTTTGTGATCCTATGGAGACCAAAACAATGAGAATCTTTTGTCTTCATCTTTTGGGAAAAGTGCGTCAATAGCTGTGACATGTAGGAATGTTTTTTCACCAGCCTATGATCACCCAACCATGGAGAAGATAGTGTACCTGAATACTGGATTAACCAGCACAAAGAACTATGGGAAAACAATCCTCACCAAGGTAAATTATGCATTACAACTTTCTTCGTTTTGTCTTAATTTTCTTTCAAAATTTTAACTTAGTCAGGCTTTTAATATATGGATTTTGCTGAAGTTGAGAAGAACTCGTATTGTTTATTTTGGTTACTTGGTTCTTGTTGAAGAATAAATTAGTGTATTAACATACGTAAGTACACTTACTGTTTTGTGATTTTTATTTTAGCTTTGCTAGCAGTTAGTTCAAAAATAATGTAACTGTTATTCAAACTGGTGAGATACAGTTATCTTGATATACCAGGGCCGTATTGTTAAATGTCAAGGTTTATAGTTAATACTCTGTTACAAGGAGTCATCTGTTGCTTATTTTTCCCTGACCTATCCCCTTCCTCCCAAACTTCAATCACACCAAATATTTAAATGTCATTTTGAGCTTGGGATCACTTTTAGCTTGTTAGTTGTGAATTTGAGAATTGAATTGAAAAGAAGGGATGGGACAGGAAAAAGTAAAACAACTGGATGCAAGTTGTAACCTTGTTCTAAATTCAACTTCTTTTCCTTTGTTGCACACTCTTGATTTCTTTCTCCACCTTAAAGAAAATGTCCAGTCTACAAACTGATCCAGGTCTTTGATGGCATAGTATTGACATTTTGTGAAACGGTCAAGTTTTTTTATGGGACTTAATTGATGAGTTGGAATTTGTACTAAATTGTGGCCATGATCACTCTGAATTTTAAAAATTCACAATTAATTTAAAATGATTCAGATTTGGCAGTAGTGCCAATTGGTTATACTGTGAATTTTATTGTACTGAATTTTTTTGAATGTGGCTAATTGCTGTATGAGCATAAAATGAAAAATATATTGTCTGTTGAGTCCCAGCTGTTTCATGTGTGTCCTTTCCTTTTGTCTCAATCAATAGAATCCCTACAGTATGGAAACAGGCCATTTGGCCCAAAAGGTCCACACTGTTTGGAGCATCAGTATCCCACCCAGGCCCATCCCTCTATCTTATCCCTGCATTTCTCATGGCTAACACACCTGACCTACACATCCCTGAACACCACAAGATAATTTAGCATGACCAGTCTACCTCTCTTGCTCATCTTCGGACTGTGGGAGGAAACTGGAGCACCCAGATGAAACCCACGCAGACATGGGAGAATGTGCAAACTCCACACAGACAGTGGCCCGAGGCTGAAATCTGCACTCTCTTTCTTTTACTTTTTTGGACTCTGTCTGAATTTTGACGTTCATTCCTTTTCATTTACAGGCTTTACAAAAGTTAGAGCTGACTTGTGGTGGAGAAGGGAATGGAGTAACAATTTCAGTTCATTTGTGTCATTCTAGATCTTTGTGTGCCAAATTCCCCTTGGTCTTGTGCCTGTTTTGTGAAGAAAAAGCAATGTATGGAATGAAAACAATTCTCTGGTTCAGTGATTACTATATGCTTTAAATCATTGTCTAGAAACTTATAGAAAACAAATGTTTAATTTTAAACCCTGTAATCATTCAGTATTTGGGATTGATTTGGAATGTGATGTGCTGTTTTGAAACGGGGTGGGAAAAATCTCTCATTGTGTTTATCTTTCATGGCTTTCTTCTCATTTCTGAAAGACTACACAATGGTAGATTGTCTGTCTGTTGAATTTTAAGTTGTAGATAGTAGTTTATCTAAAGAATTTTATTGATTTTAATTTCAAAATAGGAAGCAGATCTTGTTACCACTCATGAATTAGGTCATAACTTTGGAGCAGAGCATGATCCAGATACCCAAGAATGTGCCCCAACTGATGATGATGGTGGGAAATATGTCATGTATCCCATAGCAGTGAGTGGTGACCAGGATAATAACAAGGTACTGTAGAACTGAGTTTTTATTGCATGTAGGTTACATCAGTATTTAGATGACCTAGTTTCTAAGGAATGTACCACCAATGCCCTGTTAAGATTTAATTGACTAGCCCTTGGATTTTTGCTGATCAACCTTTTCTTAATACATATCAGTGCACTTAAACTGTAGAGCACTTGTTAAATAAAACATAAAAATGAAGATGTTCAATGCATATTATTATTTCTTTTATTGTTCATACTTGGGTTCTGAATTTAAATCCAGTCCAGAGTGATGACATTACATTGAAACATAGTCTATTCCTGCTTCTATTTTCTATTTGGCTCTTTGAGCGAGCTTCGCTGTTTATGATCATGGCTGATCATCCAATTCAGTATCCTGTTCCCACTTTCACCTCCATACCCTTTAGCCCTCTCAAAAACGCTGTTTTTGGCCTCAACTGCATTCTGTTGCAGAGAATTCTGCAGGCTCACCTCTCTCTGGATGAAGAAATTTCTCCTTGTCTCAGCCCTAAATGCAGTAGGATTAGACCATGACCCTGGTTCTAGATTCTCCAGACATCACAAACATCCTTTCCTGCATTTACCCTGTCTAGTCCTGATAGAATTTTATAGGATTCTTTTTATCTGCCATTAATACAGTCCTAACCAATGCAGTCTTTGCTCTTATGTCAGTCCTGCCATTCCCGCCATTCCCAGGAATCAGACTGGTAAACCTTGTGCACAAATCACAAAAGGTTAAAATACAAAAGCCAGAGGAATGTTATCAATCATTAGGGGAATTGAGTACAAAATAGGGCGGTTATGCTTCATTTATACAGACTAATGATGAGACCATAGCTAGAGTACTGTATACAGTATTGGCCACCTTATTTAAGGAAGGATGTAAATGTGTTAAAAGCAATTCACAGCAAGTTTACCAGAGTACTATCTGGAATGGGTAGCTGGTCCTACAAGAAAAGGTTAGACAAAGTAGGCTCGTATCTGCTGGAGTTTAAAAGAGCATGCAACTACTGTTGAAACATACAAGATTGTGCAGGGATAGACATGGTGGGGATATTTCTTCTTATGGGAGAATCTTGAACTAGGGATCACTTTAAAAATAAAGTGTTGACAATTTAAAACAAATGAAGCAAAATTTTTTTCTCTCAAAAGATCTGAATCTTTGGAACACTCTTCCAGAACAGGTGGTGGAAGCACGGTCTTTGAATATTTAGGGAAGAAGTGGATAGATTCTCATTACACAAAGGTTTAAAGTTTGTCGTGGTAGGTGAGAATGTGGGCTTGAAGTTAAAATCATAGAGGCCATGATCTTATTAAATGGGAGCGAGTTCAATGGGTTCCTTGTTGGTGTGTTTACCAAAGGCTTTACTGATGTTTTAGCCTTTCCATGTGGTGTAAGAATAGGAGTTGGATTTGTGCACAGTGTTCTTGTGAATTGTAATAGAGAAGCTTGAAGAAAGAGCAGTTGCTTATGCTGTAATTCAGTTTAACTTGGCATACAATAGCCTGGAAGAGAAACAAACATAAGATGGTTTTGTTTAAAACTACTCTATAATGCTTACAGTGCTTTGAGTCTTTAAATTCTGGTGAATGCATTTTACTTTTCGTTTGAGATTTTGTGGGTTCTCTGTCAACCGCTTGATCTATTGATAAAGGTGTTGAATAGCTTTTCTCTCTGAATTCGAGAAATTATCCACCAATTGCCTCAACACTGTCAAAAATGCATGTGAATTGAAAGTTTTCTATGCTTGAAAATCATCATAATTGAAATAACTATTTTTCCATTTATTCATGTTTAAAATGTTTAATGGCTTGATTCCATAATTGTGACTCAAACTACATGATTCTTCAGCTGTTCTCCAACTGCAGCAAACGATCAATTTATCGAACACTAATTAATAAAGCGTCCAAGTGCTTTCAAGAAAGAAACAAGAAAGTATGTGGAAATTCGCGTGTGGATGATGGGGAGGAATGTGATCCTGGGCTTCTACAGCTAACTGAGGACAAGTGTTGCACTCAACAATGTCGACTCAAAAAAGATAAGAAATGCAGGTAAAGAATTAAAGACCATCAAATAATTCTATTTTGAGCAACTACTTAAATTAATAAACAGTATTCATTTTATTTCTTCCTTTAGATTGTTGCTTGATATAAATTGATTCTGAAAGTACAGATAATGTTTAATGTTTTGTCTGAAAATTTGAAGCTGGCTTTTGTTCTGTGTTTTTCAGTTAAATATTGTCTTCATCAATCAAATCCTTATGCAAGACAGATGAGTGTTCTAAATAGCAGTCCCTTTATAACGATATTTCAGATAAGCTGGCAATTCACCTTTTACATTCTTGAATATTCTTTACAACTTTGAAATGAAGATTCATTGCCATTTCTTGTAAGATTTTAAATTCTAGGTTGTGGACTAGAATCAGATTGCTCAGGATTGTCCTAAAATTAACAATGCCATAAAGTAAAAAGGTTCAGGATGCCAATAGCACAAAATTTAAAAAAAAAATTATAAATTTAAAAGTTATAAAAAATTCTCCAGTTCAAATAGTTTTTGAATAAGAATGCATTTTAAGAAGAATTATAGTCATATGGCACGGAAACAGACCCTTTGATCCAACTCATTTACGCTGACCAGACATCCCAATCTGACCTAATCCCATTTGTCGTCATTTGGCCCATATCCCTTTAAATCCTTTGTATTCATATACCTGTCCAGAAGCCTTTTAAATTTCGTAATTGTACCCGTCGCCACCACTTCCTCTGGCAGCTTGTTCCATACACGCACCATCCTCTTCGTGAAAAAGTTACCCCTTGGGACCTTTTTAAATCTTTCCCCTCTTACCTTAAGCTTATGCTCTTGAGTTTTGAACTCCCCACCCTAGGAAAAAGACCATAGCTATTCACCCTATCCATGTCTGTCATGATTTTCTAAACCTCTGTAAGGTCACCCCTTAGCCTTGGACGCTCCAGGGAAAAAAGCCGCAGCTTAGCCTATCGCTATAGCTCAAATCCTCCAGTCCTGGCAATATCCTTGTAAATTTTTTCTGTACCCTCTCAAGTTTAACAACATCCTTCCTGTAGAAGGGTGACCAGAACTGTACAGAGTATTCCAAAAGTGGCCTCACGAATGTCATGTACAACCACAACACGATATCCCAACCCCTATACTCAGTGTTATGACCAATGAAGGCAAGCATGCCAAAAGCTGCCTTCACCACCCTGTCTACTTGCGACTCCACTTTCAAAGAATTACGCACCTGCACCCTTAGGTTTCTTTGTTCGGCAACACTTCCCAGGATCCTACCATTTACTGTA